TTTTATAATTATTTATCAATTTGAATTAAAAAAATAAAATATTATATAGTTTTCAAATTTTTTAAAAAATTACACACTTAATTTATACATTAAAAACTTTAATTTAATTATTAGATTATTAAAATTTGATATAGAATAAAAGTTATAAATCGAAATAGATCTAAGATTTACTCTTGTAGTATAAGTAATTTTTTTATATATATAGTTGTGAACATATATTATCATAATAATATTTTTATGTGACAATAAAAATATTTAATCTCAATCTTTAAATTAAAAATATTTTTAGGAAGTATGTATTTATTGTTTTGTTTTCATTAAATACTTCTTGATGTCAAATGTTCACTACTTATTTTGATTCTATTGTGTATATAGGTTGGAATACCCCTAATACTTCCTCTTATTTAATTTAATTTTACTTAACAAATAAATATTTTAAATTAAAATATATAGTTTAATTTAAAACATTACAAATAAAATTACCAAATATTACTACTGCCAATATAATTACCTTTATTATATTATTGTCATTATTCATATTACAATCATTGTTTTTCTACATTGCCATCACATTATTATTATCTCCATTATTATTATTATTATCTTTCTTGTTGTCATCAATATTATTATTATCCTAATAGTAAAAAAAAAAACATAAATTTAAGATCTTTATAGTTAATGTTAAAAACTTTAACCGTTGTAGCAACTAAACAAAACCATTTCTCTTTATAAATATTTTATGAAAATAAATTTATTAGTATAATAATTCTATATTCATTAGTATTTCTTATTTTTTTTATAAAAAAATTGAAACAAATGCTATTATAAAATTCATACTCACATCAAATTATCGAATTACTTCAAAAACAAAATTCATATTATATATGAACCTATTAAAAATAATAAAAATTGATCTATCCAATTATTATATCTACGAGTTTCGAACATGCCCAAGCGCATGTTATACCTTATTAAGTACTCACTTTTAATTAATTAGTCAAAATTAAAATTAATTAATTATGATTCTTTTAAATAAAATATGATCTTTCTCTTATATATTATTGCCCAAAGTTTATGTTTTTAAAAAATTACTCTTAACAATTAATGAAATATACTCTTATTTTTCAAATATTAAATTCTTTCAATCTTTACTATTAGTAAACATTTATTGTTTGAAATATATTTTTTTACTATGAATGTAAAAGGAGAACATAAGGTTTTCAAAATTCTTTTCATAGACATAATTAGACTCCCATAAAATATAAAACATTAAGGTATCTTTCATATTATTTGTTGAATATAAATAAAAGACTCATAATTAAAGATATTATTACAAAAATATTAATGCATGAGATATTTATATTAATTTTTATAAAAAAAAAAGTCAACTTCTCTAATTTAATTCTTATAAAAGAAAAATTACTCTTAACAATTAATGAAATATATTATTTTTTCAAATATTAAATTCCTTCAATATTTATTATTATTAAAATATTTATTTATATTGTTTTAAGTGTTTTTTTACTAAGAATGTAAAAGGACAACATAAGGTTTCCAAAAAATTTTCCATGGACAAAATTAGACTCCATAAAATATAATACAATAATGTATCTATTCTTACATATTATTTATTGAACATAAATAAAAAGATTCATAATTAAAGAAATCATTATAAAAAATATATATTAATGCATGAGATATTTTATATTAAATTTTATGGAAAAAAATTCAAATCAACTTCTCTGATTTAATTCTTATAAAAAAAAATACCGAAAGAGTATCACACTTTATGTATTGATTGGGTAAAGAGAGAAGTAATGAAGAAAGAAGTAGGATATAAAACAATAAGAGAGAATAGATAATGAATTTGTTTATATAAAAAAATTCATATAAAAATGCTTTTTTTTAGTAAAAAATAATTACTTATTTATTTTTTATGTATTTATTTATTTTATAAAAAGAAAATAAACAATTATATATATTTTTTATGAAGTAACTCATATTTATTTCTTAAAGAATTATTTCTTTTAAAATAATTTATTTAAAAACACTATTTTTTTTTTACTTTTAAAAAATGGACTCAATGAATAGAAAATGCTTGGATTGAAAGAAATAGGAGAGAAGTAGAAGAGAATTTTATTTATTTATTTGGTTGGATAAAAAAGTGAAGAGAAAGAAAATACATTTTCTTGTAAAAATATATATATATAGTTAATCACCTATATATTGTCAGTGTAAAGTTTTTTTACACGGGCAACTAATTATATATTTTAATTGTGTCATATCATTATAAACATATTTACTTTTAACAGTGACATGACACGATTAAAAGACATAATTGATTGTCAGTATAAAAAATTTTACACTAACAATGTATATGTGATTAACTCATATATATATATATATAATATAGCATAATTAATATTTTTTAAAAACAAAAAAATATTTTCATATAAAAAATAAAAAAATATTTTTAACTTTAATATTTATGAAAAAATAATTTTTGCCAATCTTTTTCTTCAAAAGTTTCATTTTCGTAATACATAAATTATATAATTATAATAATAATATTTATGTAATTTTGGCCGAAACTCTTTCAATTTTGTCAATTTTCTTGTCATGTAAGATGAGATTTTATATTTAGTTGGATATCATAATCACTTTTCTCTCTACCTATTTTTCTTTGTAAAGAACATAAAATTACTACTTCTCTTCTACTTCTCTCTCTTCCTTTATTTTCTTCTGATTCTCTACTAAAACAAATAATAGATTAGGTTATCATTTTTTTTTCTATATCTCTTTTTCCTTCAATTTTTTTTATAAGATAACAAAATGTACTTGAATCTTATAAGTATTTACAAAATAGAATTTTTAATGGAAGGATAAAATATTGTAGAAATAAAGGAGAGGGTGGAGATTGATTCACAAAGTATTATATATCTATCTCATCTTACACCTTTATTTATATATAATTATTTTAATAAAAATTTTAACTTAAAATTCTAAATTACACTATTTTATTTATTTAATTTGAGTTATTGTATCTTTTATTGATATTTTAATTACTGTTTTATAAATTTTAATCCTTAGTATTTGTAATGTTTTAACTTTTTTTAAATATTATTAGACTAGAATAATATTTAAACTTTGTGAAATAAACATTTATACAATATCCCATGACAAGATAAATACACACACACATATATATATATATATATATATATAAAAGAAC